CCAAGAAGTTATTGAAAAAGGCCTAAGATTGTTGAACCAATATTTTGCTTTGTCTTTATGGGTAAAAGGAAAAAGTTTGAGTCTTAAAACCTCTTCCGGTATGTCCGTGTATTTCACGGTGGAACGTACTTTAAGAAACTCATCCAAATGTTATTACAATTCTTCACTTGGAAGTCCATGATAATTGGGAAGCATTTGAATAGTTTGCGGTTTAATCTCATAGTGATGTGCTCTAAATGGGGGCAATTAAATGCATGTCGGTGCATTGTATTCATTTAGAACATAATGATCACGCAAAACAATGGGAGGATTCCCAACCGGTGGTGCTAAACGAACACCATGATTAACTTGAACCATGGGAGGTTGTGGAGCAAAAATTGGCCGAGGCATTCCCAATGGAATTTGGCCTTGTTGTTGTGGTGGAATGAATGGTCTAGGCATGCCTAATGGTACTTGAATGTTGTCATGATGCACATTAGGGTGGAGGATGCCTTGTTGGTCTATGTGACCAAGGCCCTTCACATGGTCATCATTTTGCTCGTCCATTGATGAAATGGAGTGATGAGAACTACCTCTTCCCCTAGGATTACAAACAACCGATTTAAGATGGAAATCAAGTGGGACAAGGGTAAGATTTAATGACCTACGACCATGCATGCACTAACAAAACAAATAACAAGTAATCAATCAAATAGCAATCACTTTGCCCCCACAATTAATCAATTAACGAACATCCTCCACATACATTGATCCCATACTCCCATGCTTTAAACAATATGCAAAGAAAAGTAAATTGCCTCCACGCGGGCTCACGACCTATCTAAGAATTTAAGAACTTGCCACCACGCGGGCCGACGATTTAACTAGAGATTGAGTTAAGAAAAGCTCACAAAGGGTCCTTAAGCAACTTCAATTCATTTTTCAATTTTCGCTTAGCTTTGCAATTTTTTTAGATTTTAGCCTTTTTATGCTTAGCTTAGCTCCTTGCTTTTCAATTCTCCCTTGCTTGACTTCCTTTGCTCAATTCACCTAGCCAATCAAGAACAAACACAATAAGTAACTAAAAATAAAATAAGGTAAAAACACAATCAAAAGAGTACTATTTCCTAATTATTCCAAAAAATACAGCGTCACCAAATCCCCGGCAATGGCGCCAAAACTTGGTGTGTGTCGTGCCAATGCACCAAATTGCAACGAAGTGTGGCTAAGTTTGAATTTATAAAATGTTACTACTACCTCTAACTACTAATATAGCTAGGGTAAGTAAGGATCGTCCCAAGGGATTAGTTGCGTATTTGAAATGGAAACAAGGTTGGATTAGTAGGTCAAGTGATCAAAAGATGGTTTGATTGGTTAATTAAACTACAATGTAAATAAATTCAATACAAAGCAGCTAAAGTAAATAAAGAGTAGAGAACAAGAGAGAGGGATCTTGGGATTTATAGGTCACCGCTAAACATCACCATTCTAGATACTCAATGTGTAATGAATGAGGAAAAATATGTGTTGCAATACTAAGAGGTGTGATTGATTGAATTAACAAGCATGGATGACTAATTAAGTATACATTGTCTAGGCAACCTAGTGAATAGCACAATATATCAAACTAAGCCATTATTCCTTCCTTTAAGCTCACAATCAACATACTAACAAGTTAAAGAATTATAATACTTGCATTCATATGCATGGAACATCAAACAACAAGCATAGATTGTCTTCACATCTAAGAAAGTAAAGCAACTACACTACATCTAAGCTAAGGACATGAAAATTAAACTAATTAAACTAAGGTAGAGGCACAATCCATCAAGAAATGAGTATGAACCATCAAACAAATCACAAAGGTATTCTATTTAAGCACTATGACTTGACAATCTCTAGATTTATATCATCAACACACATAGACATGTATCAATATCACAAACCAAGAGATAAACACATGAACATCTATTCTAGCATACATAAACATATGAATAGAATGAAATGATTAATTGGAAGTATTAAACAACATAAACATTGTAAAAACAAGATTCATATATAATTCAAATGTTAAGACAAGATTACAACACAAATCCCCTCAAAATACAAAACATCAAGATCTAGAAGGCATGCTTAGGGCTAACTCTAGCCCCAAGAAGATGTTTAGCCACTCATTGATGTAGTCATCCAACCTTCAAAGGCCATCTCCATGGTAGGAATGATCTTCTTCTTGATGGAAACCCTAGATGAATGGAAGAACTCCCAAATGGTGTGTATCTCTATAATCTCTAGCCTCCTCTCCAAGATTGTAAAAATATCTATCTATTCATGCTCTCTTTTTTTTTTTTTTTTTTTTTTTTTGTAAAATGGCTCAACATCCTTATATAGGTAGCTCAAGTGTCACACCCAATGGTCAGGTCTTGTGCACCGGGGCCCTCTTAATGAGCCACCTTTTAATGAGCTGGACTCTGTTTTATTTCGGACTTAAGGAGGTTCGATCGATCGAATTCTGATGAGATCGATCAAACTCTGGCCTGATCAATCGAAATATGACCAGATCGATCAATCCTTGGTGGCGCCTTTTTGGAATACAACAAATCTAAGATATTTTTGGGATATTTTGGGGAAAAAGATAAAAGTGGTAGGTGGGGATAAGATCAAAGAAGTTCGATCGATCTGAAAGAAAGTTGGATCAATCGAAGATGGAAATTCTTGAGGATAAGGACAAGTGGTTTGATCCATCTTAGCAAGGCTGGATCGATCACTGTGAGATCGATCTGGGATATGTCTGATCGATTGAAACTTGCTGTTTTCTGCCACTTTGCTCCTTTTATCTCCTTCCTTCCATTCAGCTTGAGATTACTTCTTTTATGCTCTAATTTGGCTAAATTGACTTATTTTAGGGATAAGCGCCTGAAAAGAGCAATGAAATTAGTCTAAAATAAGAAAATAAGATAGATAAAGGTCCTAGAATACTTGAGCTTAAGGGGTTTAAATGCGCACTTTTCAGCGTTCATCATATCTCTTTTGCGATACTTGGTGTGTCCAGAATATTGATGGGAATGGCCCTGATTAGTGACTCATTTGCTGAAGATGCTGCACAGGCCAAGCAATCAGCGATCGGGTTCTCTTCCCTTGGGATCTACAAGAATTCTATTGGGTCGAAATACCTTGTTAGCTTTTCAACCTCTTCTATGTATGTATTCATTCTTTCTACTCTGGAGGTGTATCACCTGTCACCTGTCTGGTGATGAGTTGTGAGTCACTATGGACTTGCAGGTGTTTAACTTGAAGCTCTTTAGCTTGCCTAAGCCCTGCCAACAGTGTTTCGTATTCTATTTCATTGTTTGTGGCTGGAAATTCCAGTCGGATTGCTTATTGAAGTCTGATTCCCTAGGGGGTTCTGATTTCCAAACCCGCTCCAGCCCCATTTTGGCTCGAAGAGCTATCAACATATAATTCCCAGAAGGGATTCTCTGTAACTGGTTGTTCTTCTCCTGGATCAGTATCCAAGAGAAAATTTGCAACCACCTGTCCCTTTTTTGCAGTGCGTAGCTCATATCGAATGTTAAAAAAGCTCAACTTAATTGCCCATTTGGTAATTTTGCCTGAAATATCCGGCTTACTGAGAATTACTCTGATTGGATGTATCGTGGGGACTATTATCCGATAAGCCTTGAAGTAAAGCCTAAGCTTTCTTTTTGCCTGGATCAAGGCGGGGATGACTTTCTCTACCATCGAGTACCTACTCTCTAGATCAGTTATGGTTTTGCTAGAATAGAAGACTGGGTGTTGTTTCTTTCCCACTTCTCTTATTAGGACCGAACTGGTCATCGATTGGGATACTGCCAGATAGAGGTATAACGGTTCTTCAGGTTCAAGGGCAGATAGAATTGGGGAATTCGTCAAGTACTCCTTGTGTTTTATGAGAGCTTCTCGCTGCTCTTCCCCCTAAATGTCTCCCTTTCTTGCCTTGATGGCATTGAAAAGGGTTTGTATTTGTCTGACAGTCTGGATATAAAATGGCTAAGAGCCGTTATTCTCCCAGTGAGGATTTGGACGTCCTTCATGGTTTGAGGCTTTTTGCTCTGTAGCAGTTTTGTCAATTGAGTGGGGCTGGCTTTCATTCTTCTTTTGTTTACCAGATGGCTTAGGAACTGGCCCGAGGATACCCCAAATGAACATTTTGCTAGACTTAGCCTCATCTTTCTTTTCCTGAGAGTATCGAACACATCTTATAAGTGTTGTAAATGATCTTTCTTTTCCTTGCTTTTTACAACCATGTCGTCTATGTAAGCTTCGACTGTTTTACCGATCTGCTTTTCAAACACCTTATTGACTAACTGCTGGTAAGTTGCCCCTGCATTTTTCAGTCCGAAGGGTATTAACTTGTAGCAATAGGTTCCGCGTTTGGTGATAAAAGAAGTCTTCTCTTCATCCGATGGGTCCATCGGGATCTGGTTGTAACCTGAATAAGTATCAAAGAAAGTTAGTTTTTCATACCCGATCGTAGCTTCCACCATTTGATAAATTTGTGGAAGTGGGAAGCTATCTTTTGGGTAGGCCTTATTTAAGTTGGTGAAGTCAATGCATACTCTCTATTTGCCATTTTTCTTCTGAACAACAACCACATTCGACAACCACAGGGGGTATTGGACTTCTCGAATGAATCCTGCTTCCAAAAATCAATCGACCTCTTCAACAATGATTTTGTTTCTTTCAATAGTGAATCTCCTCTGTTTTTGCTTCACTGGGTGGTGGCTTAGGTCCACGTTCAGGCTGTGACACACTATCTGTAGGTCAATTCCTGGCATGTCCCAATGATTCTAAGCGAAGATGTAGGCATTCTGCCTTAAGATTTTTGTCAGCTCTTCCTTTTCCTAGGCTGATTGGAGCGCCCCCATATAGGTTAGCTTAAGCTTATCCCCTACGATTATCTGCACGGCTTATAGGGGTTCTTCAGTTGAATGCTCTTTTTCTGGCTCCTTACTCTCTTCAGGAGAGGAGGAGCCTAGTAACTGCTATTTCGACAATTGATTTCCCTTATCGGTTGAACAAATAGTAATGTGGTAGCACTCCTTTGCTGCCACCTGATCCCCCCATATATCAATAACTTCTAGCTCGTTGGGGCTAACACATATCATGACTTGATGCAAAGTCGATGGGGCTCCTTCCATACGATGGATCCATCCTTGACCCATTAAAAGGTTATAGGTCAGGTGGATATCCACAATCACAAAGTTTTTTTTCAAGGATCTTTTGGCCGCAATGACCGATAGCGTGATTACGCCTATGGGTTCCACCCTTCTTCCATCAAACCCTACCAAGGGGTTTCTGGTGGGGCAAACCTGATCCATAGCCAACTTCAGTTGGTCAAATGTCCACTTCATTACGATATTGGCATTGCTACCAAGATCAATCAGTATATGGCTGACTAAACAATTTGCTGCTAGTAGGCCGATCACTAGTGGGTCCTCATGTGGAAGCTGTATCCTCTTGAAATCTCCTTCATGGAAGGAAATTTGCGTAGAACTCAGCTTGTATTTGACTGCGTTGATCTCTTTGACCCTTTGTAGCTTATGGGCTTGCTTGAGTTGAATCCTGTAAGAACTTTCTGGTTATTCGTCGTCTTCTGGATGGGCATGAATCATATTGATTACCTGAACGGGATTGTTGTCTCCTACGGCTTTTAGAGTTAGCCTAGCTCGTTCAGGTTACCTTTGTCGGCCTGAGTTAACCAGGTAATCTGCCAATTCGCCTTTAGTTACCAATTCCTCCACCTGTCTTCTCAGACTCCTATAATCATTGGTTAGGTGGCTGAAATCACTATGGAATGCACAGTGCTTACTTTGGTTCCTCTGGTCCATTACCTGTTTGATCGGCAGAGGGATTTTAAAAATGTTCCTACCCTTAGTCTCCTAATACAGTCTTGTCAGTGTTACCTTGGGAGGTGTGACCTCAGCTGTTCGAGACTTTTTCTCAGGGGCTCTTTTTTTAATGCTCGGGGGTTCCCGTTAAATTCTTGAGGTGGTCGAGCGTTCCTTCGGTCGGCTTTTAATTGTGACCAGAGTCGCTCTTTACTACCTTGTCACTTCATTTTCTTCGAGTCTTATGTAGTTTGTGCTCTTGAATTCAACTTTGATTTGTCAGCCGGAATCTTTTTCACCATTGAAGAATGGAAACGTGAACCTTATACCATGGCTATCTTGAATGCCTCTATGGATGTATCTTGGTTGCAATCTGGAATACCTGAAGATTCCATGTTGAACCGAGTGAGAAAGGTCTGTAAGCCTTCCCCCTTCATTTTCTAAATCATGAAGAGATTGGCAATGGTCTTTTTTTGTTTCTTGTTTCCACAGTACTGGGCTAGAAACGCAATGCATAGTGTCTCGAAGTTCAAGATTAACTTGCACGGGCGATTCTTGAACCATTCCAGGGCTACTCCTGTCAGACTGGACGGAAATATTTTGCACATGAACGGATCATTGTGTGCTTCTAGAGTCATCTCCTGAGTATAATGATTGAGGTGCTAGAGGGGGTTTCCAGTTCCATTAAACTTGATGAACTTCGGCATCGTGAACTTTTTGGGTCTTGTAACCCGTTCTATTTTATCCGTAAAGGGAGTTTTAACTATTGACGCAGTGAACTCTCTTGCCATGTCCTCGGATGTTTAGGCCTTTAGCCCTTTAATGTATTAATCCATCTCCCTTTAGAATCTAGCAATGAAATCATTCCCTAGTGATTGTTGATCATCAACTGGGACCATACATCTTTTTTTCCCGATTCAACATGGTCATCTGTGGCTGGGACCTTGGTGGTCTGAGGCACTCCCATCGTAGAGTTTCCTAGGACGCGGGATTGGCTTGTTATTTCTTCAGCATCATTTTGATCCAGAGTGTCGCTTTAGACATTAAACGGCTACCGAGGAACCCTCTGCTGAGAAGGAGGGTTATTGAGTCCGGGTGCTAGGGGTAGATCTTTGTTCTGGCGCTTGGGTTGTGGGATGATTGGCGGATCATTCTGCTGAGCGTTGACTCGAAATCTTTCATTTTCCTGGCGTAGAGCATTGATTTGCGCTTTGTTGGCTTCGTTTGCCTGTCTCGGTTCATTGATCTATTCGGTACTGGCTTCGTTGGCTTGCCAAATGACGTCAAACTGTGTTTGCATCTCTTCACACATCTTTTACATGATTTCTTGCTGTTGAGCTCGTGCAGCGTTTGATCCTGTCGCCATCCCAGAGTGATGTCGCAGGAAAGTGATAGTAAAAAGGCTTTTTGTAAAGGATTCCCACAGATGGCGCCAAAGTGTAGGTGCAAATTTTTACACTCTTAACACTTAAGAAAATAAATCGAAGAAATTGAGAACAAAAGGGTAGAGACAATGGATAATTTTGATAAGAAAGAATAGTATGATAGGAATTTGATATTTTTCCTCTCCTATTCATGCTTTACTTATAAGCTTGTATAGAGATTTACATGGAGCTGTTACTGGCAGTTTTTTTGGACGTGGGCTTTTATGGCCCCCTTATATTGCGGCCCTCTCTTTTATAGTGGGCGTTATGGATGTTTGAATATGCCCATTTTGGGCCATTCCTTAGTCTGCTTGTGCTGAGTGGACCTTCCCTTGCTAGTTGGGCCGAATTAATGTTCTTTCAAGTCTCCTTTATTGGGCCTCTGGCTTCTGCTGGGCTTCAAGGCTATTTTAATAAAAGGTGATTTTTATATTTGATGACACGTGGTGTATTATGATTGGTGGGGAAACTTCCCTCCACACAATATCACATACCTATCTAAAAAGGTAGTTGTGTAATTTTAAAAGAATAATCATGCACTTATTAAGTTAGGGTTACAAGTGTTATTTTTTTTTAAGATGAGGGTGCAAACATAGAGCAGGGCAGTGCCACTATGGCCTCTAGAGACTTAAAATCTATAGTTATGTTTTATTAATAAGAAAGGTAAGTAGGCTAAGTTTTATTTTTTGGAAAGTAACGCAAATTTTATAGAAAATGTAAATTGTACATTTGGCTTTAGCTTGGACTGAAGATTACAAGCCCAAAGGGCTAAAATGAGACATATATACACATAGATCAAGGTCTAATAGGCCTAAGTAACAGTTGTTTTCATTGACGAATGAGCCAGTGGCCCAGGGGTACCAAGCCCCTACTTCTCAAAGGGAGGTTTGGGGTTTAAGCCTCAGTGAAGACATGGGTGTGTGAGTGCCGACTAAAGAAAAATAGTTGCTTCCATTGACACTTGCCGAAGCTTTTGTTGAGCTTTCTAAGTAAGAGTATACCACATAGGTGTATAGCTTTAGTCAAATGTCACTTAGTCAAGGGGGTAAGGAGGAGGTTGAGGACCAGGTACACCATTCTCCCATTCAATTAGGGCTAGGAAGGCTTCCATTCTAGTACTGAAAGGATAGAAAATGGACTGGGCCACACTCGGGCCGGTCCAACAGGCCTGGAGCACTATTAAGCCGTTAGACCACACACAAACCAATCCATTAAGCCTAGGGTGCCAACAAAACATTACCAAGCCCAATTTCACAAGCATTTTGAGTGGGTTTTCCTGTCTAGTGTGGCCCAGGGAGAAGACCTGTGATACCCCTGGATTTTTTAATACAGGTTGGCCAGGCCCATGCCCGAATACCTGAGGATATCAAAAACAAATCGGTAATAATCGAACACAGAGTAAAAATATGATAACTAAGAATAGATAAATTGCTGAAAGAAACTAAAATAATAATCCATTAATAAAATCCCTAGAATAAATTTTTATTAAATAATAAAATATTCTGATTCATCCAATCATCCAAATAAATACAAGTCGGGAATCTATACTATGTGGACCCCTAGAAAATCCCAACTAAATAAGTGACAGAGATAACTGTCTATAACAGAAAAGTGAAACATAAATAAATCTCCTATGTAGAATCGGAAGAATGAAGTAGACTGGTCCCTGCTCAGCACGAACAACCTCTACTCCTGATGAACACCTGAAAAATAATGGTGGGTCAGGCCCACAAACAAGTTCTACTCTACTATAGTCCAAGTAGAGATCCGATACATGTATACATCTTAGTCAATCCAACAATAACTAGTAGTCCGAATATATATATATAGATACACACTAAAGGACTCTCACTGGACTACAAGGCAATCTCAACCTAACTAGTAGGCAACATGCAAAACACACCTGAAGTGGGCATGAGTACCTAGACCTAACGGGGTACACCATTAACCATCATAGCCAGCTATGCATCCCACTGCATATACACTCCCTAACCATCGATCCTGAAACTCAAGCTCATATCATGACATCATAATCATATATATAAATAATCCGTCCTATCCAAACATAAATAAATATCTAGTATAAAGTAATCCTCTATAAGTCATTCAACTTGTTCAGTTGATCTAACTCGAATATAAGTAGGACTTAACATTTTTAGTTAATCCATTCCCTCATACAAAATAGGTAAGACTTAACTTCTTTGGTTAATCCGTCCCTAGAATGCCACCGTCCCATACCGGTGTATTAAACCACACAATCTAATACATGATGCAACAGATAAAGCAATACATCAAGTAATCCGAAATAATATGATAAAAATCACATATAAAATCATACTTAAGCAAAAATAACAACTCTAAGCAGCATGCATTTAATTTTTACAATATAATAAATTAACATGCATCTCAAATAGATTGTTTCAACCTCCAGGACGTATTTAAACTATTTAAATCCAGTTAATTGATTAAATTAGTTTAATGCCAATATTCATCCATTTAAATTGCTAAATAATAGTAAGCAATTAAATCATCTATTAACAATATGCAGACCTATTTAAAATGTCATATTGTTCAAGTCTATAGCCTGTTAGTGTAGATTATGCATTGTAGGAGTTAGTCCCATCTTTTCAACCATCTAATTCATCCAAATTCACCCAACATCATTGGAACAACCCAATCTGCTAAACAGAAACTTAAAAAAAAAAAAAATTAATTTCTGAAAATCCTAGCGCGAGAGCATGCTCCAAAACAAGGGAGCAGGCTCTGTCCTTGTGGGAGTCAGCTCTCGGCCTGAGGGAGCTGGCTCCCTTCACTATGGAGCCGCCTCTCTCCCTCTCTGAGAGCCGTAAACACAATTTTAGAGGGAGCCGACTTTCAACCTACTATCCCTCTTCTTCTTCAACTCCGGCGGCCTCTGATCACTCCGACAACCTCCATTAAAAGCCCTAAAACTTTGTTCTAAGTCCGAAACAGTCCTTAATAAATTTATAAAATCATTATGCATCATTAACACAAATCAAAACAATTTTATATGCAAGCAAATTTAAAATTAGACAAGAACACGTATGAACACATATAAACAGATATATTCTATTTTAATTTAATTTAAGCATGCATACAAGGTTGATTTAATATCTGAGTACTCCTGAAATTAATCTAGGCATGCATAGAACACGAATCTAAGGGAAGGAGTTAGAAGAAAAACTTGCTTTAAGGTTTTGAATTGAAACCTTTAACCTTCTTCTTCCTAAGCTTTTCTAGTGACCTTTGGCTGCCATCAAAGTCCTCTCCTGCTCGAGCCCTAGTCACGAACAGACTCTCCTTCTTCCTCCTCAGTCCAGCCCTTCTTGGCCGGACCTTTTCTTTACCTCTCTCGGTTCTCTCATTTTCCTCTCTCCGTTTTCTTTCTATTTCTCTAGGTAATACCACGTAATATCATATCTGCCTCCACAGACTTAGGCTTATATATATATAGACAACATATAACCCTAATCCTTATCTAACCCTAAGTATTCTTATAAAGAAAAAGAGAAATAAAAAATACAACTTATATAGTAACAATAATACTACCTTACA